TGAGTTGTTCGGTCCGACCGATTCTACAGGAGTAAGGATGGGCCTTGATACCACAGCTTCACTTCATGCTCACTACTGTGCAGACTCAGGAATCAATATGCCAGCGCAATATGTGGACATTGGTGGCTTCACTTTTCTAGAATAGAGAGTGAAGGCGTGTCGTCAATCTTGTTTTAGAGTCAATGGCCTAAAATCTAGACAGTCACTCTTCATCTGTCTGTCTGTTCTTGATAGTCTATCAGTCAGTTTATCTACAGTATTTGCATTTCAGTCTGTCACAACCATACTGTAGAAGTTAAATATTGATTACATATTGTAAACAGTACACTGCCTCTTCCACTATACATCATTTAGCAGACTAAACTGGTCAGCCAACCTTGGAGAGGTTGAAATGAGGACAAGACAGCTCAAGACATTAGCACTGCTCATACCTCATCTTTGATTTTCTCCAAAAAGCTTACTGTATATGTGTGTAAATGTCTAATAAACTATTGTTTTTGCTTTTATTTTAGCCCCATCAGCAGAATGGATGCTTGTAATTCAACAACTGCCAAGCTGGCATCAGTCTTGCCTTTAGTGTGCTAGCTCCATGTCTCTAGCTATCTCCAGAGGGACTCTCAGTGGCATTCGCTCACAGCAGAGATGCATGGCCTCCCTACTGCCAAGGGACACAATGATACGCCAGCGCTTCCTGGAAGGGAACTGGAAAGAATGGAGAAAGTTGGCAGAGGCTAGATAGTAGGGATAGAGGGAAAAGGAGGGAGGCGGAGGGAACGAGACTGCTGAGAGCTGCAGAGTGACTGAACCGGGGTGACCTGCTCTGGATGCCCAGTGCCACAATCGCCACAGGTATTTTTGTGTTTACTTTGTGCCTCCTTATTGCATGTGAATAAGTAGTCTATGGAACTGGGGGGAAGAAAAAAAGAATACTAAATCTCATAATTTACATTACTCCCAACCTTTTATTTGGTCAGTATTTTGCAAATGTTTTATTACATCTTAATGTCTCCATTAAGTTTGCTCTTTTATTTTTTAAATGTTCATCATGTGTAACAGGGCTCAATAGTAAGGATGACCCACTGACTTTGTTTTGGACCATCTGAGTTTTGGATTAGTTGGTCAAACTTGCCCATTTGAGCCATTGATCCGTTGTCCCTGAATATTTTGTGTGTTGATCTTGTATATCCATTTGAAAAAAAAAAAAGATTCTGTGTGTGGATAATAATGGATTAATACATTTATTTGATTTGACTGGTACAGTAGAACTCCAGCTATCTCAGGCACTTTATCAAAAGACACCACTAATAATCCTGTCACGGACAAACACTTCCATTAAAACAGATGGAGTTTGTGCATTGTGTAAGAGGGACTTCCCAGAAAAACACACAAATGTTGCCGAATTCTATGGCAACTTCTTGAAAAGTCACCTACCCAGACTCGTAAGAATCTCTTGATAGGTGAGAGTTCTGGCGTGCCAACTGTAAATGACAGAATAAGCACCGGCAGATAATAGAAAGGTCATGTTTAATAGTTGAAGAGCAGGCATCCAGTTACCAGGTCCTAATCTTATTCAGTTTCCCCATGTTGCATCACCCATCATTGCTCAATCACATGCTGTTATTGAAGTGACCTTGGTGGATAACCTTTCTCAGTGACTAATATGCTGTGAGAGAGTGCATGTGGGAAACTGTTACCATTGTGGCAAAGACACAAAGCCAAGATTAACTAACATCTGTTGCTTCTAGTCGATAATGACGGAGTGAAAGCACGTGGCTGGAGGAAATGCACAGTGCCAAAGAGGATCAGAAGTGAACATCTGTTTCTGCTTGAGTCCTGAAGACGGAGAACTGGAGATAGAGAGGAGTTAAGGTTGAAGTGCTGCAAGCCTGAGACTATGAGAAGGTTAATCTAGTGCCCAGTATTCCTCTACACACAGGCTAAGCCCCATCCTAATCTAGTTAATGAATGTGGAGCGCTGAAAAGCGCAAATATCCTTTCAGCTTAGGAACTAAGGAACTGATGGGCCCCGGGATGTGGTTTCCTGCCTTATGTAATCGAGCTTCATGAGTGGAGGTGAGTGTGTTTGTGTCCATGGGGTGATCTGAGCAAAGACCATCCAGGCGAGGTGCTGAGAGAGAACAAGTCGAGTTGTTTTCACAGCTCCAGCCATGTCTGGTAGCCAGGCCTGGATCTTCAAGCTGCTATGCCAACAACGTATTTTCGACAGCTGGAATGTCTGCCCTTTTGTTGTCCGTCTCTCTCACATTCCCTCCATTTCTCTTTTTTGTTCTTCTTTAGTCTTGAGACTTTGATCATACTATGGCAGCTTCCTCTCAAACAGATTTTTTTTTTCACCTGATCTCCGGCGTGATCTAGGGAGCCAAGTAGTCATATGATCATGATGATGTCTAGGCTAGCAGCAAGGCTGCAGTGAGGCCCAGATGGCCGTAGCCCTCATTAAGTGACATGAGCTAGAAGCCTCAAGATTGTTTTCTATATAGTTCATCAACCATTCATTCGACTCCACAAGGGCTTGACCCCAGTCCCTTGCTTCTGGTGATCTCCAAAAAACTCATCTGCTTGGCCTATACACTGAGTGCATTGTGTAGTATTTTACACCAGATTATGCTTGATAACTTGCATAACAATGTTATGCAAGTTCTTTTGCATGCTTTAAAGGGATAGTTCATCCAAAAATCATTCGAACCGCACCACAGTTCGCTTGGAAGCAAATGAAGACCCATATTTTCAGCAATCTCGGTTGCCTTGTTTGGTGCACACCAGGGTTCGGATGGCAATGAACCTCTCTAACAGACACCAGGGTTCATTTTAATTGAATCAAACATGCCAAGTGCGAACAGTCCCTAAATGATCATTTCTGGGTGAACTTAATTGGATCATGAACAGTTCCAGATCTAAATTCTTTGCTCATAGTCCCTATTTCCTTTACCCCCTAATTTAAATATTGACGTCAAAACTGTATAAAAAAAGATAATTGTAAAATCTCATTTTCTTCAGTTTATCAACATGCGAGACAAAATAACTATCACAAAATAATCATCTAACTATCATGTATGAAGTGAGACAGCAGCCACAGTTATTGAGTTACAGCTTCAAGGTCCTATCTGCTGGGAATTCTGCCAGTCAGCATTCACCTTTGATTCTGAAGATACCAAGTGTGAGTAACAGATGCACATAGGGATATGAACGGTTAATCGATTATCGACTTATCGTTGACAATAATTTACTCAAATAAAAAAAATTAATTGTGGGCAAATTGAACATTGCGAACTTGACATTCTCATGCAAAGGACCCGACACAAACTTGAGGCAGCAAAACGAAACCAAACATGAGGCGGTCAAAACGGAGTGGAGTACCAGCTATATACAGCATGCTAACCTCGAAAATCCATCTGTATTACAATAACTTAGCTCTCCTTATTAGCTAGGCTCCTTGCATGCTGGTTAATAACTTTTTTTTAAAGCTGGGTCTCAAACATCAACAGCACTGTGTTGGTTGATACCACTATTGATACCATGATAAATTTACATTCTGAGGAAAATAGCCACTCAGTTAATCGTTAAACCGATCGATAAGGTCGATCAACTAAAGATTAATGAATTAACTGCGAAGGTCTATTGTGAGCTGATCAAACGATGGGCGATTTTCAGGAGACAAATTACATTTCCATGAGGTCACTGCGCAATGAGTCAAGTCTTACAACACCTGCATATATAATGCTAAATGTTCTGCCTTTAACATAATACACAGACAAATCATTGAATGTGGAATGTTTTGGTTTTTTTAGCGCTAAAACTGACTTTTTGGCAGATCAAATAAATGAATGGCGTCATTCCCTTTGCCCCACTTGTCAGCACTTGGCAAATGCCCATGCATTGAAGAAACACCTGGGATCAGTGGCACATTTATAATTTAAAGCTAAAACTTCAAGGACACTAAAGGCTGAGAACAAAAAAGATTTGGCAAAAGACCTTCTGGAGTGCAGACATGTGTTTAAATAATTTAAAACAGTTATGCTCTGAAAATTGATTATATTAAGAAAATGTTCTTGAGAGCAGAAAAACAGCATGTGAACATGTGATTGCTCTTCTGCAATGGGCACTGCAGGGGGCCCGATTAAGGCACATGTGGAATTGGTGAGGATCGGTGGCCATGCTCAAAGGACCCCTTCATTGGGAGAATGTGATTCCACAGGTATGTGGGCTGGCTTTCAGCAGAGGCCCAACCTGAGATACAAGGGCCACATTGTGGGTGCTGGAAAAATGATAGCACCTTGGCGATTCCCAGCTATGCAGTTTCCGCGGCATGATGACCCCCCCTTTACCTCTATTGATGCACTTATCTCTTTTTTTTTAAGAGGAGCGAAAGAGTTTGTGGGCACACTGTGGGAAACATGCATTACAGATGTCTAATGGAAGCCGTGAAACATCAGTGGCTAAAAATTCTATCCATGTACAAGATGATTTAATGTAACCACAATAACATCTATAATGTCTTGTGTAAACGTTGCTGAGAATTTTTGGCACAAAGCAGAAAGTAACCATCTCCCTCTCTGGACTGACTCTTAAAATTCCATGTATTTTTTTTTTTTTTGCTTGAAAAAAAATTATATATATATATACACACACACATACACACATTTTTTTTCTTTTTTTTTTAAATACATGGAATTTTAAGAGTCGGTGCAGAGAGGGAGATGGTTACGTTCTGCTTTGTGCCAACTGTTTTCAACATGGAGAATAATACGATTTTCTGCTCAGGAAACATTTCTTATTATTCTCCATGTTGAAAACAGTTGTGCTGCTTAATATTTTTATGAAAACTGTTGCATTTATTTTTTTCATGATTTTCATTCTTTGATGAATATGAAGTTCAAAAGAACTTTATAAATGTCTTTACTGTCAATTTCAATACATTTTTCAATTATATATAAAAAAAAAACACAAAAAAACGGCTAGACTTCTGCAAAAGTCCTTACCTTGTAAGTCTGGCTCGCTGGATCTGGGGCTACTCCGAGCTCCACGGGTGGTTTTTTTAGCTCCGGGACTGCTTCCCCCTCCTCCACCACCCCCAAGATTTCCGTGGACCTTGCCATAGCCATTGTACATGTTGTTGCAGCCCACATTGCTCTTATAGATGGAAGGAGGGCTGTTGAGACGATTCTGACGCTCCAGTCTGTCCTTCATCTTCTTTGGTGGCGGTTTGAATGTCTCATCCCGCCCAAGGTAGTTCATCCCGTACACAGGAATTATCTCTGTGCCAAAAAAAATAACAACAACCATTCAACCATAAAAACTGCCATATAATTTAGGAATAGTAAAAAATTATGGTGCGTTCCACTTGTCCTCGGAAGTGGGAAGTTCCTAGTCCCCAATAACTTTATGCTCTATGGAATGCTCTTCAAGTTGGAGTTGGGAAATGGGAAACTCAACAACGCTGACTTCAAAATACAATATGGCTTCTCAGCATATCAACAGTGGTAATATTGTTTATTAGTACTTCTGTTTGTCTGTCTCAAACTCAGTGGTGCACACAATATTATGTAACCTCTATTTCTGATCTTTGTATTGGATTGTGGTCAACTCAGGCGTGACGTCATTCCCAGCTCCGACATGCCTCTTCCGAGGTAAATGGAATGCAGCATTACACTTACAAATACACTGAAAAGTTACAGAGCCCTTGAGGGGATATGGTGATGGGAAAAAAAATTGTCTTCTCTAGCTTTGGCTGTGAAACTGGAATATCATGAGATTTCATTTGATATCGGGACTACACTCTTAGAAGAAATGGTTCTATTTAGAACCAGAAATGGTTCCATCCCCCGCTTCATATATGGAACCCCAAAATGGTTCTATATAGAACCATTTTTTTTTGGTAAAAGGTTCTATTCGCCCAGTATGGAACCCCAGGGTTCTAAATAGAACCCAGAGGAACCCTTTTTTAAGAGTGTTTAGAACCTTTTAGGGGTTCCAAATAAGTAGCGCAGATAGAACCTTTTCCTCTAAGAGTGTATCAGAATAAGATGAGAGTAAGCTGTGTTTATATACCTTCATTGTACATAGGCGGGATATGGTGATGGTAGTACTGGTGGGGGGAAATGTCCCCAGGGCTGACGGGTGGGTAGAAAGCCGTGTGTGAGTTGGGAATAAAGGGTGGTGGGGCCATGTATGGAGGTAAGTGATGAGTCGGAGAGATAGCTGGAGAATAGCTGGGAGGATAGCATTCTGGAGACTGAGGGGTGACTACCACTCTCCGGACACCTGTGTTGTCCTCCAGCACCTTTAATGAAAAACACACAAGATTATTATTAATTTTTATTTATTTTTTTAATGAATTTTCCGGAGCTGAAAATCAGATTTTTAAGTGTGTGTATATGACAGCCTGTCTGACAGGCCTATCAAAAACAGACAGCAATGTCAAGAATGATTAGCGTAGCTTAGATCAAGTTCAGGCTTGTGGTGCATTTAGATGTTGTGCAAACGGTGAGAGACATTGTTTCATTATCAAGTTCAAGATCTTTATTTGTCCCCGAGGGGCAATTAGTTTTGCAACAGTAGCCAAATAAATTAACATGCATTACACGACAACATCAACAACAGTTAAAAATTAAAAAGTTAAAAACATTTAACATTTAAATACAAGTATTGTCAATGTGCAGACAGACATTACCTATTCTTTACAGAGTTAAGCAGAGAGATCACAGAGGGAACAAAGGAGAATTTAAATCTATTAGTTTTGGCTGGTGGCTGGCTAAAGCGAGAACCAGAAGGCAGCAACTTAAATTCTACGTACAAGGGATGAGAACTATCAGACATGATAGATTCAGCCTTTTTAAGTACATGTCTATTGTATAGTTCAGATAGTTTTGTCTGCTGAATCCCGATGATTTTACTGCTAACTTTATGCACAATTTCTAAAGTGTTTTTCCGCTTTAAACTAAGAGAAGCGTACCAGCAAATACATGAAAAAGTAAAAATAGATTCGATAAAAAAATTTATAAAACAGTGTCATCAGGGATCTGTCCACTTGGAACTTAGCCAGCTTTCTCAAACAAAAAAGACGTTGCTGACTTTTCTTACTCAACATTTCTGTGTTCTGTTCAAAGGTCAACTTGTTGTCAATGATAACTCCCAAATACTTGTACGACTCAACAATTTCAACCTCTTTACCATCAATAAAGGTATTTTCAGGAGTCGGCTGATGACATCTAAAATCAATTAACATTTCCTTAGTCTGAGACATTTAAGTCTAAAAAGGCTTCTTTGCACCAATTTAAAAAATACGGTAATACGGTGCCGTGAGATGTTTCCGTGGGATCCATTAGACTTACTATGACTGTGTCATCTGCAAACTTTATGATATAATTATTGGTCAGTTCACTACGGCAGTCATTGGTGTGATGTATAAAAGAGGAGAGAGAACACAGCCTTGTGGCGAGCCAGTTGAAGTCACTGATATTTATGAAAGATGTCCATTTACTCTCACTCTCTGTGTCCTATTTGTAAGAAAGTCCAAAATCCAGCCCACCAAGTTACAATCCCACCCGAGATTTTCTATGATGCTTTTTTTCTAAGATTATGCATGGCTATGAGAGTTGAGAGTGGGTCAGAGTTATTTTACAAAATGTCTTCATTAACATGTTCGTCCTTACAAAACAACTGTACAGCTCCACTGCAGTAAGCTATTAGAAACAGAATCATGAAGACAATATGGAGGAGAATGCAATGACACTGCCAGATGCAACAAGATCATGGGTGACAACATGAGTGCTAAATATCAGAGGTTGTTATGATTTCATATTACTCAACAGAGGTGTTTTCAGCTGGCCCTCAAGTTTGGAGAGCTGTACCAGACAAAAAAAATGAATTAGTCTGAAAAAGAAAAGCTGTGATTTAAGTCTGTCTCCTTTCGGTAGATGCACACAGCTCTGACCACGCTTCCCGCTTCTAGTTGGCACTGGGCTAAAATAAACAGAGACAATGACCTTTGGACAATTAGCAGATTCCTTCAACTGCCACAGGAGGGGTGAAGAGTCAGGCCCATTTAAACTAAGAGGGCATGATTTTTAGGTCAAGTAGATTTTAAGTTAAAAACAAAACAACAAAAAAACTGACCATTATTACTATTTTATGGAATATTGCACTATTTATTATAAATTATTTATACATACACATCATCTTTTTTTTATTTTAAATTCATGTGCCCTCATAATGGTTAATCAAAATAACTTCATCTCCCTCTTGCAGCAACATCTCTCCATCTCTCTCTTTTCTGATGAAGTGTTTAATGTATTTTTTTCCCTTTGGTCTAGTCTTATATAGTTACTGTAAATCCGGCATCTAGTTCATAAACGCCAGAGGAGAACTGCCGTTTTTCCTCAAACTTTTTTTTCTCCATTGGGCAACTGATGGAGTTTTAGGACACCATTGGGTCACTTGGAGTTTTTCGGTTCCTTGCCACTGTTGCAATTGGCTTGCTCAGTTGGGGATATTCAAAATAATTAACCAATCAGTAATACCCTTGATTACCTCCACCAAATGTGGATGTTTTTCCACTAAGAAATGAACATTGTTATTATGTTTTGATTCATAATGTGAAGCTGCTTTGATGCAATCTATATTGTGAAAAGCACTATATGACTTGACTATCTCAACAAGCCGACTAAGTGAGCCAGGATTGCCACTGGCACCCCCTTCAAAAAGAAAATAGGTGCATGACTACTTTGTTTTCCAACTCAGAGTGCAGAGTACACAAAAATTAGGAAACCCACTATACAGTAAACAGAAACCTAATCTGTTTGCGCTCTAATCTGCGTTTCTTGTAAACAGTATCACCTGATAACAACCTTCACTCATCATTGGTTACAGGGTCAGGTGGGGAATGCCTTCTCAACTTTGCTAGACTATCCATAATTTACCATGCATTTACTCTCTGCTTGGCACTCCATGACATTTGACAGCTGGCATTAAATTGCACAAACTCATTGAAAAATTAACCCTGCAACACAACCTTTAATAGTCCTTTCTAACACCAGCATAGAGTCAGAAATGGTGGATGGCTTTTAGCAAAAGCTTGCTAGTGGATAGCAAGTTTGTCAGCTTGTGGATAGATGATGAGGTGAGGTCTGTTGAACTATAAATGAAGACGTAATGTAACCACTAGGCTCCAGGCCCAGAGCTGTTGTCGTGCTGATTGTATCTCTCCAACAGCTACTGGTCAGGGGTCTGCTTTCATGTCTGGCAGATCATGAGCAAGATAAGAATTATGGTTTGGAGAGCTCATTCCAGATCAGCACTCGCTACATATTGATTACTCCTCTCATCTGCCAGAGTTTGGAATGATGACAGATTCTTGTATAATGTCTAATAGAACATAATAGAGAAGTAAGAGCCCTGGAAAGACCACAGGTCTCATTTACAGAGGTAAGAGGATGGGAGGTAGTCGATGCAGTGGGCATTATTGGATTTCTTTTTTTCCCCCTCAAAATATGGAAGCTGTCCCACAAGCACATGCTCAAGTAACAACTACTCATTTATAATGTGTGGTGTCATTTAAATGAAGTGTAAAACGTATGGACATGTGGCATGTTGTTCCTGGCTTCCATTGCGAGTCTATTATGGTTTTTTTTATTCCTTCTTTTTAGATACTGAGGGAAGAGTTAAAATAATTGTGCTGAAAAAATAAACTAAAATATATATTGTTTCCCTTTCCAAAGACATATTTATAAATGATATTATGATAAATGTTGCACTCACCTGGGAGATGTAGCCAGGAGGCACATGAATGGGTGGGATGGATCCATTGGGTGACATCATCGGAACCTCAGCAGGCCCTGTGCACATAGAAGAAACAAAAAGGTCAAATATTCAAATTCACCTCAGTTGCTAAACCTTTATATTTTGCAAACACTTGATGAAATAAATAGGACAAAACAAGGACCATAATGAGAGTAAATAAGAAATGCACAACTTGATAATTTGACATCAGCAGGCCCAGACTTCTTCAGAAAACTCCACAGAACTGAAATGCATGTTATTCATTAAATTCTGTTAATGTTCTGGCCATTGCGTGTTCTGTTATTAAATATTTTGGCTGAGCTGATCTATGCTTTTAGAGTGCAGCATTCTTAGTTCCATTCCACCATTCAAATCCCAAAAATTGCTGATTCTGACTGGGCATAATTATAAATGTAGATATCATTCCATCCTCATTGGCAACCAGCCTAAGTAGATATGAACCAGCAAGGGATAGAACATACAAAGCAAACACGCCAATAATGGCATGGCACAGAGCAGGGCTGTGGGTAATTGAACTAGAGCAGTCCAGACAGAGCATTGCAGAGGACTGGAAAGGACTCAAGCAGCATGGACAGTCCCATTGCTCTGAGTGCCTCTCATCAGGCCTGATTTACTGCACACTCACTCTCTAGATCCCTTGCTCACTTTGATTGAATGACTGATGGGATCACCATTCATGACAAGTCACACACCCGTCTTTATACTTGCAAGAAACTCAAGCCCAACTATGAGACTTTACTCTAAATAAACATTTACTTTATTTGCTCAGAAACATTAATGTGTTTACACCCTAAAGGCGTTCAGATTGATGAAGAAATGGATAGGGAAATCATTTTCGAAATCATTTTCATTTCCAAATATACTGTACAGAGTCCGCAGTTTGAACTTAAAACTATAGGATAAAAGCATCCACTATTTACTTTAAACTAGACACAAATCCCTATTACCCATTTTTAGATTCACTGGAACAAATATATTCAAATCCAAGTCATATCCAAATTGTGTTGCTGACTTTTCCACTGTGGTTTCTGTCTCTGCTCACAGTAGCGAAGGACTGGCAAAATCTGGTAAAAACATTGCCCCCTCCCCCCCTGAGACAAGTAGTACCTCATTGCAGTACACGAGATCCAGGAGGTGGAGTTGGATCCATATCTAATGGGCGGAGATGGGTTGGATTAGGGGTGGGGTTAAGGATCATGGGGTGGAGATGGGTAGGATTAAGTATATGTAAGGTGGGAGGAGTTGGATCTGGATCAAACTCCTCCACCTTGATTTCGTGTTCTGCAGTGAGGACCATCTCCCGAGACAGCAGCAGTCAACTCTGCAATGCTTTTGCCAGTATAAATCACAGGATGGACTAATGAATTCTACAGTTCATTCATCATTAGCTGCCAAAGCCTGTTCACAACAACATTGCTAGTCACTACTATGTTATATCCTGAAGGAACATTCCAGAACTGCTCAACTGGAATGTTTTTCATAAAAGAGGCACTAGAGTAGGAGAGAAAGGAGGGATGAATCTTTCTCAGAAGATGATACACATGTAAAGTTATTATAATATCAGTACAGAAAATTTCCCCTTACAATACAATGTGTGTAACATTCAGATCTCTAGCTGGAACTTCATTTAGTAAAGCAGTGAGAAATCAGTAGATCAGTTCTTTTGGATGTGCTAGACATAACTATACTCAATCTTACAATATAGTGCAACAGTTGGGTTTCAAAAGTAAAAATCACATTCGAGGAATTATAGGAATTGATAAAATAACGGAATTGATTTTGAAACTTTTTTAATAAAAGACAGACCTACTGCGAGCTATGAAGTTGTTAATCATTTGTATATGCTGTTGTTGAAGCCATCAGCCTACAATGTTAAAAAAAATAAATAAATAAATAAATATATATATATATATATATATATATATATATATATAAACAAATAAACATTAACACTGTTTCTCCCAAAAAAAATCTCCCACCAATCGGGAAATAGAAACACGCAAATCGCACCAAAATACTTTTTTATTGTCCACCCATATCCACATGGTACACTGCAAATGATGTAAAGTCTGTTTCCCTAAGCTCTAGGGAGCAAACTACCAAAACATTTGCATATCTGTGAATAAAGGCAAATAGCTTGTAGCCAACATTTTATAAAAAGTACCCTGACTGTATCCAGCTATTTACTGCTAATAGTAAACAGTTTTCAAAACAATAGCCTGAGTGCAGCTAGCCACTTATCGCTAGTCGTTTGCAGCCAACTGCATTTTTAAACGAGTAGAGATTAGAGAATGACTCTAGTTTAAAATCAGGAGTAGTTTGTAGTTTAGAAAGCTACAGTTTCAAAGTGCGAGATGGTTTGAAGACTTGGTGAGGCAAACTGGTGAACATAGTTAACACAAAAACTCAAAAGGCAACAGGAGGGGTAAAGGGTTTTTCAGAAGCTGTTTTTCCAGTAAAAGCTAGACTCCAGCTGACATCAAAGGGGCCTTTTTGGTTAACTGGTGAGAACAGAGGAGGAGTCCTTACTGGAAGTGTGTGTGTACGTGTAAGAGTTTCGCACAACAGGGACCCTGTGTGAGTGCCCCTAGACAGTGACCTTGCTAGCGGAACAAATCCTTGTAGAACAAATTAGTCTATGATAATAAACACAAACAGCTTGTCAGTCAGAGCAAAGTCGAATGAGTGGGTGTTTGCCAGTCAGGGCGTATGTGAGTAAATGAAAGTGTGCAAGTGGGTGGGTTTACAGTAGATGCAAGTTGTTTGTTTAACCATCTTTACTTAACTAGTACAAGAAATCAAGGTCTGTCCTGTGTACACGCACCCACATTAGTATGTACACAAACACAGCTGACACAAATGTAAGGATCATCATAATCAGTGAAATAATGAAGTCAGCAGACAGGACAGGAAGAGCTGTGGCATTTTCAGATTATTCCTGCTGATGTAAAGGAAACACATTTTGCGCTCAATCCAACCCTGTGTGGGGATCTTGAGCATCTTGAGCCAAGAAATAAATGATCTCTGTGAAAGTTGTAATAAATTATATTATTTTCTTTATTTGTAAGCCATGGCAAAGGAAAATTAGACGTGGAAAAATAGATCAAATAGTGCTGAGGAGGGTTTATTTCTCCAGGCTTGGCTAAAAACCTAACCAGAAGTGGGAATGCCAAAATTGTCAAAAGATGAGATACAGTCGCCAATCGACATGGGAACTGTATGAGCTGTGGTGTCACCACAGAAAAACGTATCACCATAAATGTATCCCACACAGACAACATCACTATTAATAAAAAAGTTCCTTGAAGTGCCATGGTACAAGACTATGCTTATCAAGTACTATCCTATTACCAATTTCACATGAAGGAAGATTGTTTCTGTGAGAATTTGACAACATCATAGCCAGCAGACATCACACCCTCTAGCCCAAGACTGGTTGCCCACTGAAGCCAAGTATGGCTGAGTCTGGTCAGTACCTGGATGAGAAAACCAGGTCGCTGCCGAAAGAAGTGTTAGTGAGGCCAGCAGGGGGCGCTCATCCTGTGGTCTGTGTGGGTCTTAAAACCCCAGAGCAGAGACGGGGATAGAGACTGGCCCGCTTTCCATCATGGTCTCCTAATCATCCCTATACAAACTGATTGGCTGCATCACTGTCTCCTCTCCACTAATAAGCTGGTGTGTGGTGGGCCTTCTGGTGCAATATGGCTGCCTTCGCATTATCCAGGTGAATGCTGCACTTATTGGTGTTGGTTGAGGACATTCCCCCTTCCATGTAAAGTGCTTTGAGTACCAGAAAAGTGCTATACAACTGTAACAAATTATTATTATCATCATACATTTTGTATTTTATTCTCCTGACATGACATCATCCTCTAGTACAGCTGGAATAACTTGTCTTTGTAGTGGGGTGTCAGAAGCACATACTGGAAACAGGAACTATGTATAATGAGGGACCTATACTCTGGAGAGTCCATGAGTGTCCGACACATGACTAGCCAAAAAGGAAGAGAAAGGCTCTATACTTTAATGTGAATTACATTATTCATCCCTTCTTTCTTCTATAGTGGAGCAATGGGAACACATGTGGGCCTAGGGGAGTCAGTAAGCTTTAATGAAGCATTCAGTTTGAGGCTGGGAGCTGCCTGGAGTCATGGTCAGGCCTGGTGGAGAGTGAGTTGGTAAGCATGCCGAGCACACAGAGGACACCTTTTCAGCCCTGGTCTCCCTGATGGCGTACTGTAAATACACTCATGAGTCTAGCTTTCTTTCAGCCTCTCCACAGCAATGCAACAAAACTCATCTGCTCTCCAACACGAGTGTCCAAAAGCATGCCAAAGATCTGAACCATACTCTCCATATGTATTATCATAGCTAAAACATTCTGTGCCTTTGAAGCACGCTCCATTTCAGAAGTAGACTCCAGTGCTGGTCAAGTATTGCTTGCTTGAGTGGATGGATGAATGACGGATGTCACATTAGGTTTTCATATGGGAACTTCAAAAGGATACAAGGATCCATCAAACTGGCCTAAGGAACTATAGGGCTTTTAATACAGGCCTTAAACCAATGCAGCTGAGCAACAAGATGTGGCTAGCTTTCTTGCTAATTTCTAACAAAAAAATATTATGGTAACAATGTGCAGCATTTGGAAAATCCTATTCATCAGTAAACTGATTTATTCAGACAGTTCATATAAATTTGTATTTGCTCAAGACTCATTGTTTCTTTTTTCTTAATCAATGTTCTAATAACTATAAAATAATTATAAATCACCTGGTTTCATCTGATATGATCCCTTACAAAAAGCTAAAAAATATATTTTGTAAGCTAAGAACAAAACAAAAATGTAATTTGACAGACATCAATAAAGACAAAGACAGACTGTAGTATGACTGTAATAGCTACTGAAAATCATAGAGGAGTATATATTAAAATAATTGTAATTTAAAAATAACATTTCACAATATTACATTAACCATTTTTTGATCAAATAAATGCAACTTTTGACTAATAGTGTCACAAACCAGTAAATTTA